TGGCTTATCGTCATCTCACCCCTGGATTTGGGGACCAGCCTCGTGCTGATCTTTCTAAGAGAAATTGTTCAAGCAATACCTAAGTATAATTCTTTTGAATTCCATATCAGGGAGTTCCAATAATGCTTCTTCCTCAGGGATGTGTTCTGGGTCTATATCCTGGTCCCTTGTTTCTCTTGCTTTATCTTGCTGTTTTGTGTGGAGTGTTGAGGGTCTGTTGTCTCCAAGACATTGTGTTGTTGTTGTATTTAGATCTCTGTTAACTGTTGGTGAAGAGCAGTTAAGTTGAGTCAGGCTCTTCTTGGTGGTCATTTATCGTTGGCCAGTTGGTGGAGAAGGAAGTGGTGGCCCTCACTCACTAAGTGGAGCTGCGGGAGGTGCGGGTGTAGTTGTGTTGTATGGGCATGGTTGCTGTCTCCTACTCTGTTAGACAAAAACAATGATAGTAAAAACATCAGAAAAATAAAAGCAAACAGACAAAAAACACATCACATAAACACACAGGAAAAATCACCAAAAAAAGAAAAGAAAGAAAGAAAAAAAACTTCAGTATGTGGGGAGGGGGCCATAAGAGAAAAGAGGTAAGAGTAGGAGAATAATGAAGAAATAAATGGGAAAAATGCAAAAAGAAAAACAAGGAATGGGGAGACCCACAAGAAAGAAAAAAATAGGAACCAGGAACAGGGAAGAGAGAAAAAGCTGAAAACTAGAACCTAATGGGTTTCTGAGGCAGTTTCTAGCATAGTGCCTAAGGCACTTGACTGCAAACCAGAAGGCTGGCAGTTCAAACCCACTAGCCACTCCTTGGAAGGAAGATTGGGCAATCTACTTCCATAGTGATACTGTCTCGGAAGCCCAATGAGGGGTCACTATGAGTCAGATCCGACTCAACAGCAGTGAGTTTTTTTAATTTTTTTTTTTTTTTCTCTCTATGGAAGTAAATTGCCGAGTCTTCCTTCTGAGGAGTTGCTTGTAGGTTTGAACTGCTAGCCTTGTGGTTGGCAGTCAAATACCTTAGACACTACGCCACCAGAGCACCTGAGAACCTAGGAAGGGAATAATAAATAATAATAATAAAAGGGATAAAAATAATAATTTTAAAACAGACAAAAACAATCAAACTAAAAAAAGGAAATAAAAATAATGTGGCAGGGCGGGGCACCCAGGCTTCGTCTGAGCACACAGACTGGAATGGAAATCCTCCTGGCCCAGAAGGTAGCTGAGAGTAAGGGATGGCTGCACCTCCGTTCACCAAGAAGGTGTGGGGCATATGAGTAACAAGGGGTATATCGCACCAGTTGTTTGTGTCCTGAAGGTCCCCAGCAAGTGGAGCCTATTCTTAGGTCCCTGGAATGTAAGAGAAAACTCTGTCACTTTAAATATCCAAAATTGTCAAATTGCTTGTAAACATTCAAAATGACTGGGCCCTCTAGACAGACAAAATTCCACAGCTCAGTTCGTCTCCTTTGCTGCTCCCCCTTTTATTCACCAGCCACCAGTGCAGTCCTTCATGCAGTCCCTGGCTGGCAGGGCTGATTTTTAGGTTAATTCTTAGGTCATAACACCACTTGGCAATATCCAAGCTGTTCATGCTGTCAAGATTGCTGACAGACTGCAGCTCCATATGTCTCCTTTTTTGGTGTTTTCATGCAGGTTTTTCTACTAGTTGGAGTTAGTCCACTTCTGTATCTTCCTTTCAAAGCTCAGGGCTCCAAGATTATCTTCTGTATCTGTGTTAATTGGGTCTCCTTTTCTTTATTGAAGAAGGTTTGTGTAGTTTGTCTGCCTGTTCCACCATCTTACTGGAACTCTCTATTTTTTATTTTATTATTATTTTTTAATGTGTTTGCAACTCCCAAAGGCTTGTACTAGTAAAGCTTTCACACTGTAGGCTTTCCTTCTCAGGGCACAGGTCCCATGAGTTCTTAGGGTTCCCCCGACATTTCTGAAGGACCCTGTGTCTCACTGTGAGACTTCAGCTGCTGGACACTTCTGCAAACACTTCTGTGACAGTCCTCAGCCACTTGCAGTGTTTAGCTCTTCCCTGTGTGCCACTCCCAAGCAGGGACTATAAATATACTTACTTCATAAATGTCCGCTAAATGAGTAGTGTCCAGAGGCTTTGATCCTTCCTGGAGACCCAGAGCTTTGGGTCCCAGAAGAAAGGACTCGGATAACCAGAAGTTCCCTCTGGAGTCCACCACACCAAACCAAACTCACTGCTGTCAAGTCAATCCCAACTGATAGTGGCCCTTCTTTGGGTTAGGCAATAGCACTATGGAAGTAGATTGCCCAGCCTTCCTTCTGAGGAGTGGCTGCTGGGTTTGAACCACAGTTAGCAGTCAGATGCCTTAGGCACTATGCTACTAGAGCTCCTCTGGAGTCCACAGGTTCCAGCATATGGGGACCAGTCAGGTTCTGGGGTGTGAGTAGGGAGGCAGGTCCTTCTGACCACAGGTATCCCACACTCCTTGCCAAAAAACAAAAACAAAAATCACTGCCATTCTGACTCATAGTAACCCCCTTTGGGTTTCTGAGACAGTAAATCTTTACAGAAGTAGATTGGCCAGTCTTCCTTCTGTGGAGTGGCTGGTGGGTTTGAATCACCAGCCTTCTGGTTAGCAGTCAAATGCCTTAAGGCATTACACTACCAGAGCTGCTTCTACTCCTTGCCAGAGCTTGTAAAATCTCAAGAATAAAGAAGCCCTTTGTCTCTTTACTTCTCCAGCTCTGGAAGATCAGAGAATAGACTAAAACACTGCTGTTCTCAGAAAGCCCAGGAGAGGAGACCATGGACACTTTGACCTCAAGACATGAGGAGAGAGGTGAGAGTTAATGGAGGCTGTGGGGTCAGAGAGAATCCCAGCTGCATGTGGAGAGGGAAACAGTTGGTGAATAAGGAATTGCTTGAGGTGTGAGGAAACCAGTATGGAAAGCTGTACCCTTTCCTGAGGTTCAGGCCAATGGTCTACGAGCTCAGAGAAGGTACCTCCTCTTCCTCATGGCTTCTTTCTCTCCTGCAGTGATTCATTCTCAGGACTCAGCCCCTGCGCAGGAAGGAGAGGAGAAGACCAAGTTTCAGGTGGGTTGAATTTTCTTTTCTTTGCAGAAATACCACTTTGGGCACCAGAGAGTAGACATAGCTCCCTTACTTCATCAGAGGAAAGACGATGAAGATGTGGTGTGTGAGTACATTCCATTACTCATTGCACTTATCCACAAGATAGCCTCCAGCCTTTCCAGAGGCCAAACTGATATGGTCTGACGCAAGGCACACAATAAATCACACTGTTAGCATAGACAATCTTGTGTGGCCCGAGCCCCCAGGTAAACAAAGACATTCTTACCAGGCAGGATATTCCGAGGTGATATTCCGAGGTCTTAGTGGTTACCTCCCAGCCATTGGTCAAGGGGCCTTAAATGATTCTGAGTGGCTATCTAAGGCATAACTATTGAGCTCTCTGGTCTGGAACAAAGAAGAATGAAGAAAATCAAGTATGTAGGAAGCAGTCAGTCTAAAGGACTAATGAACCAAATGAACTGCAGCATCCACAACCCTGAGACCAGAAGAACTAGATGGTGCCGGGCTCCCACTGCTGACCACTCTGAAAGGGATCACAGTAAGAGGCCCCAGATAGAGTGGAGGGAAATGTGGAACATAACTCAAAATCTTTAAATAAATAAAAGACCAGCTTACTAGTCTGATCAGGACTGGTGGAGTCCTTAAGACTGTGGCCCAAAGACACCTTTCAAGCTAGGAACTGAACTTAATCCTGTTATTCAGCTCTCAACCAAATGATAGCCAGGCCTATAAGGTGAAGAGTAATATCAGGAGGGTATGCACTCTTTAGAACAATCAGGCATATGAGATCAAGAGGACAGCATTTGGCAAGGGATAGGGCCAGGAAGGCAAGGGAGGGGATGGGAAGAAAAACCACAAAGAAGGGTGGGCACAGGGAGGAGGTGGGAAGAATGCTATTCTAGTGTAGGGATTGCAGTAAATGTCACCTAAGAGAATGTGTCTGGATTGTTGAATGGAGAACCAATTTGCTCTTTAAACTTTCACCCAGATAACATTTGTTGTTGTTATGTGCCATCGAATTGGACCCGACTCACAGGACCCCTCCTTGGGTGTCCGAGGCAGTATCACTACAGAAGTAGATTGCCCCTTTCTCCTTCCGAGGAGTGGCTGGTGGGTTTGAACATCCAGCCTTCTGGTAAGCAGTCAAGTGCCTTAGCCACTATGCTACCAGAGCTCCCAGATAACATTTAGGGAAAAAACAATTACAGCCTTGGAAACCCTATGGAGCAGTTCTACTCTGTTCTTTTGGTAGGGTCATTAAGAGTTGAAATATAATTGATGACAGTGGGTTTGGATTTTTAGTTTTGGATACTTTAAAAAGAAGGATATAAATACTGATCAGAGCTTTCTTGTTCACAAAGGGAGAAGGGAAGAAACAGAAATGACTAATAATCCTATAACATAATGAACATCCTCGATATTATTCAGTATGTTGCAGACTGAAACAAGATACAGTTTTTTTTTTTTTTTTTTTCCTAGCAGATGGCCCAAGGTTTGGAAGATCAGTGCCCACTGTTAGGGCAGAGTATAGAGAAAGGGGTGCATCCTCACTGTTGCAGTTGATGTTAGGTGCCATCGAGTGGGTTCCAACTTGTAGAACAGAACAACAAAGCAACACACTGCCTGGTCCTACACCATCCTCAGTCATTGCTGTGCATCATTGCTATGCACGAGCCCACTGTTGCAGCCACTGTGTCAGTCCATCTCACTGAGGGTCTGTCTTCTTCTTCGCTAACCCTCTACTTTACCATGCTTGATATTATTCTCCAGGGACTGGTCCCTCCTGAGAACATGACTAAAGTACAAGAGACAAAGTGTGACCATCCCTGCTTCTAAGGAGCATTCCAGCTGTGCTTTTTTTTTTTTTTTTTTTTCACTGATGCTTAATTTTTGCTTTATTCAGTGATACTAAACAATTTCAGGTAAAGTGAACCTCTCTCATATCTTTTGACAAAATCATAAAATTAGTATATCACCATAAACTATAAACCCATGGTGGGGTTGGGGATGACTGTGGTGAGTAGGTAGTCATAATGACAGCTGTATCTCTAAATGGAAACCAGAAGAAGTTCAGATCTTACCCATGTTCATAAAATAACCACAGAAGTAGTAGATCCAGACACAGGTTGCTGATACTCAAGTCCACCCTCAATATCGCTTTACAATACTACCAAGTGTTGAAGAGTATTTGTGAAGATCAATTCCAAGATAAGGAACTTTACTGAGCAATGACATCATTCATTAATTAAACATCATTGCAGGAAAGCAAGTTGATTCCAAGAGCAACCCAAACTGCTACCACCAGAACACAGGACAATAAGTTGTCTCCATTCCTCACGACGCCAAGAGCACCAGTTCACCAGCTGTGCTGCTTACAAGACAGACTTGTCCGCTCTTCTGGCAGTCCACAGGATATGCAGTGTTCTTTGCCAGCACCACAGTTCAAAGGCATCAACTCTTTCACAGTCTTCTTATTCATTATCCAGCTTTCACATCCATATGAGGCAATTGAAAATACCATGGCTTGGGTCAGGCGCACCTTAGTCTTCAAAGTGACATTTTTGCTCTTTAACATAGAGGTCTTTTGAAGCAGATTTACCCACCCAGTGCAATACGTCATCTGATTTCTTGACTGCTGCTTCCATGGAAGTTGATTGTGGATCCCACTAAAATGAAATCCTTGGCAACTTGAGTCTTTACCCCATTTATCATGATGTTGTTTACTGGTCCAGTTGTGAGGACTTTAATTTTCTTTATGTTGAGGTGTAACCCATGCTGAGGGCTGTGTCTTTAATCTTCATCTGTAAGTGCTTCACATCCTCTTTGCTTTCAGCAGGCAGGGTTGTGCCATCTGCATCTCTCAGGTTGTTAATGAGTCTTCCTCCAATCCTGATGCCACATTCTTCTTCATATGGTCCAGCTTCTAGGATTATAATGATCTGGTGTGGCCCAAGATTCCCACCATAAATGACATTGTTTTTGTTGACTCAAGGCCACAGGTCAACAAAAACAAACTTATCAGGCAGGATATTCCGAAGTCTTACTGGTTATCTCTCTACAGGTCAAGGACCAAACTTTTCTTTGGAATGTGCAGGGTTTGGACAACCCAGGGCTGCTGGGTTAACCCTTTACTCCACAGACTCCATAATTGCAAGCAGAGGAGTAAAATAATCTTTTAGGAAGTTATACCTCTTATCCAGAATTTCCTACTCCAAGAATTTAGTCTTGTCTTAAAAAAAACTACACTGATGCCCTGTTAGAAGTTGAAAACAAAAGATTTTGTTGAAGGAATAATTGCATTTCATGAAATGGAGTCCACATGGCATCTCACAGTGCAATGTGAGTCCTCCTTTGTAGGAGAAAAAAAAAAACCTAAACGCACTGCCATGGAGTCAGATCTGACTCATAGCGACCCCTCCTTGGGTTACTGAGGCAGTATCACTATGGAAGTAGATTGCCCAGCCTTCCTAATGAGGAGTGGCTGGTGGGTTTGAACTGCCAGCCTTCTGGTTAGCAGTCAAATGCATTAGGCACAAAGCCACCAGAACTCACTTTGTAGGAGAAGCAGTCAGTTTTTATTTGATCCAGCAGACAAAGGGAGATGTTTCATGTCAGACTGGGAAGAATAGAGGAAAGAAGGAAAACTTGCAGGGAGTAGTCAAATCACAAGCCTTTTACCAATACTTGTCCTATGTGACTACATGAGGAGAGGGCTCTTGGAAGCTTTCACCTGGTTTTCTCTGGATTTCACCCCATGTGCTTTTTCCCTTTGCTATATATTCTTTTGGGAGCTCTGGTGGTATAGTGCCTAAGGCATGTAACTGCTAACCAGGAGGCTGGTGGTTCAAACCCACCAGCCACTCCTCAGAAGGAAGGTTGGGCAATCTACTTCCATAGTGATACTGTCTCAGAAACCTGAGGAGGGGTCACTATGAGTCAGATCCACAGCAGTAAGTTTGGTTTGGTTTTATATATTCTTTTGCTCTAGTAAATAACAGCCACAAGTACATTTCTGTACTGAGTCCTGTGAGTGATTTTGAGGAGCCCAATGCAATGCCCATGAATGCAAGGCTGTGTCTTTCTTGCTTGTGTCTCTAATCCCTGGTGCTTAATGATGTTTCTTTCTTTCTTTCTCTCTTTCTCTCTCTCTCTCCCTCCCTCCCTCCTTTCTTTCTTTTTTTATTGCAATTTAGGTAAAAGTTTACAGAGCAAATTCATTTTCCATACAGTAGTTCACATACACTTTGTCTCATGACACTGACTGCAGTTTCCCATAGTGCAACAGCTCTCTTCCCACTTCCTCCCCATTGTTACCTCTTCCCTGTGTCCATCCCTCCCATGCACTCCTGCCCCCAGAGCTGTCTCCCTGTGCAAACACAGCCCTTCTAGTCTTCCATGATTGATCTCTCCAAGGAGTGTATCTCCCTAATGTAAATGTTCAGCTCATATGCCTGTCTTTTGTTTGCCTGGAAGCCACAGGAGTGAGTTCAATTCCAAACCTAAAGGGCAGCTAGGGCCAAAGTCTCAGGGGTTCCACCAGGGTCTCTCACACCAGCTTGGTCCTCTTTTTTTTTTTTTTTTTTTTTTAATGATTTTGGGAACACTATTTGTTGAGTAATATGTTGGTGTACATGCACTAAACCTTTCTATAGCTACTTTACCTTCCTTCTAATTAAAAATGTACCCATGGTCTAAAAAAAAAAAAAAAAACCAGTGAAGTACCTAGGGAATCACAATGCATACCTTGAAAACCTTGCCACAGGTGTTCCAGGGATAAGCTTAAGATGAGGTGTAATTCTGAAAGCCCACATATACACTGTGTCCCTCTCAAGAAAGCCTGTCACTGTCCAAGTGAATGGAAGTGATATGTGATCATGATGTAGTTGATAGTTGATGACACAATACATAACTGCCACATTTTAAGCTATTGGCTTAAAAATAGTGCTCTGCTTCACAACCAGGGATGGCACAGCATGGTTTCACCACTCCATGGTTGGAACCGCTGCTTTACAGGTCTTACCTGGCTGGGAAGATGGTTGCACCAAAGCCCATTAGTTGCTTTTGGCCAAGTGCTAACATGGAAGCCTATCGGGAGAGGGCTGTGGCAGCAAGGGAGGTCCTGGTGGTGCAGATGGTTAATGCACACCACTGCTCACCAAAGTCTGGATGCTCAAGTCCACCAGAGGTGCTTCTCTCCACCTGGGAAAAAAGGGTGATCTGTGGCAATACATCAGCCATTGAATACCCCAGGGAGCACAGTTCTACTGTGACATACATGGGCTTGACATGAGTTGGAATTAACTCAGCAAAGAGGAGGGTTTTTCCTGCTGCTGATGGTGGGTGAAGGGCTGCCTGTGAAGAACTCTTATTGGGGCACACAGCAATGATAACACTCACATGGAGTATGTGTGGGCAAGGGCCCTCTCTGTTAGGCACTGTTGGAACTGTAAGCTGTCACAGTCTTTTTGGAGGAAAACTTGATAGTCCACAAGGTCGAGTCAAATTGTAAAATGTGCAGACTCTGTGATTAAACCATTTCAGTTCTAGGAATTACTCTCAGAAGTGCTCACACTGAGCAAAGGATGCCTTTGCTTTACTCTTTGGTTAACCATGGGAGATCAGTTGGTGAACTCCGAATTATTGGCACCAAACATGAATAAAACTTGCTGTGATTGTCCACACTGATCAACTTCCTGCTCTCTTGTCTGCTTTCCTTAACGATGCCAAATTCATCTTTCACCAGTGGATGTTTGTGTTAATGGTGGTTCACATTTTAGGAGTCACTGACATTCAAGGACGTGGCTGTGGTCTTCACCGAGGAGGAGCTGGAACTGCTGGACTCGGCCCAGAGGAGGCTGTACCAGGACGTGATGCTGGAGAACTTCAGGAACCTGGTCTCTGCGGGTGAGGGGAACCTCTGGGTCATTGAAACTTAGCTTGTTGGTATGTTCTCATTCCCTGGAGGGGATATTTTGGTCTTTGTACTCAGGTTAAAACCTTTCTTTGTAAAACTATTCCAAAGCTGCTTTATTTGACCAGTCCGGAATCTTTTCCTTGTTTGTCCTTCAAAGGCCTAAAGATCATGGGATTGGGACTATATTTTCATATTATTTTATGTATCTAGAAGATGAGCCTATACCTTCCATCTTCTTGCATTTTTAGGACAACAACCTTTCAAGTCTGATAAGATATCCCATTTGGAACAAGATAAAGAAACCTGGGTGATGGAGAGAGAAATTCCAACAGATACGTATCCAGGTGAGAACTGTGGAGATGAGAGCTTGGCTAGGCAGTGAGTAGGCAAGCTTGCCATACAGGTGCCCCACTGCCCAGCCTTGATCTGCCTGTGGTACCGTCCCATTGAACGTGATTGTTCTGCTCGAGTCTCTACCTCCTCAGGGTTCCCCTACACTTTTCAGAAAATGACATACCCAGAGTGAGGGAGGGATATCTGGACCTTCCTCTGATGGAGACAGCCAGGCAGCATAAGGCAGACCATTGGCAGGGAGACCATCCAGAATATTGAGAGTCCTCTGATGAATTTCTTACTTACCGCCAAAGTGTCTAGAAGTCTCTGGTTATAAATAGATTCCTGTCAACTCAGCCCTACAACATAAAAACAGCCCACAAAGAATATCAAACAACATGGACATGATTATTTAAATCATCTAGAACTGTGTGGTAAGTGTGGTAGTTCAGTAGCTTCCAATGAGTAACATGGATAAGTAAGGTTCATCTTTGCACCTTAACAGTATCATCTGGATTCCTATGTAAGTTGTTCACAGACACAGACACCGCTTGTGCTCTTTGGAGGATGTGGCGTTTTGTTCTGCCCCTGGTTTCAACTTCCACACATCCAGAATGAGAATTAATCCGAGGAAGTAGTGTGGTTAGAGCCCTCACTGTGTTGTCTAAAACCAGATGTCCTATATTCAGATCCCAGCTCCACCACTTCCTCAAACATAATTAGCTTACTTACCCTTCTATGCCTTGGTTTCCTCATCTGCAAAATGAATATAATGATGGCTCCTACCAGAAGGTTATGAGTCAGGTCTGACTCGACAGTAAATAACAACAACAACAACAACAACCAGAAGATTATTCTGAGGGTTAAATAAATTAGTGTGTGTACATCATTAGAAGAAGTACATAGTATGTGTACATGGGAAGTGTCATAAAAGTGTTAGATACAGTAGTTCTTGATCATTTTTTTTTTTAAAAAACTAAACCCATTGCTATCCATGTGATTGTAACTCATAGTGACCTTTATGTTACAGCACAGAATGGAGCTCCATAGGGTTCTCTGGCTGTAATCTTTACAGAATCAGATCGTAAGTCCCTTCTTCTGTGGTACCACCAGATGTGTTTGAAACACCAACTTTTTGTTTAACAGCCAAGTTTAACCATTTGTCCCACTCAGGAACCTATATGTTAGATCTATAGTGATATAGATTGATAATATACAGTGAAACCTGAGAAGGCTGTAACTGGTGTAAGGTGCCAGAGAAGAAGGCAGATATTTTCTGCTAAATAGAGAAGGATAGAAAAGTGATGACTACATCGTATGAAAGGCAGAAAACTTGCAAGATCTGGAATAAACAAGACAAAGCCCTGTCAAGTTCCAGCTCCCACAGCTTTCACTGCACATAAAGTATACAGTCTGTATGTATAGTGAACTATAGAGTGACATAATAGTGTTATGTACTATTAGCAACAGCACTGTGATTAGAGAAGTGAATTTCTCTGTAAAGATCTGGTCAGGATTCCTTTTGCTGTGCAACTCTATAGGAGACATAATCTGTTCATATGGACATTGAATTTCAAAGCTTGTTAATAGGAGGTTCTTCCTTCTCTCAGACTTAAAAATAAATGGCCTGATAGTTACAACACCCAAAGCTGAGTTTTCCTCTGGGCCATTATGGCCTTGAGCAATACTTGGTCCAAGCCTGAAAGGCTGAAATCCCTGAGCCAGTCTTTAACTTATTCTCATCTCTGACTTGTCTTTAAACCCATAGGAGACACAAATCAAGAGGAAATGGAGTGCATTCAAGAAAAAGAATTAAAAGTCCTTTTACACAAAGAGCTGTCCTACTGGAAAGTCTGGGAACAGGTGACTGGTGAATTAACTGGGAGTCAGGACCATCAAGTAAATCTTCGAGGGAAAGATTTCCAGTTTTCAGAAGATGCTTCTCGCTGTCAAGGATCAGAAGGCAAATCTACTCAGGGTTTTCAAGTTGAGAATCTGGTGGATAGTCTTCAAGGGAAGGGTGTCATCAATGTAGAGAATCAAGAGTTTCCTACCTGGAAAGCTGTGAGCCCGGTCCCCATTCAAGAGTCTTGGGCCCTTGTGAACGAGCCTTGGAATGTTCAAGGAAGTGGTAAGAAAATCGAAACAGAAGCTGCACTGTATAAATGTGATTGGGGTGAGTATGGCTTCAGCTGGATGTCACATCACCATGGTGATCGCGGACTACCTGAGGGAGAGAAACCTTATGAATGTGAGGAGTATCGAAGACACTGCGTTGACAAGGGCATACTTTATCACCCTAACTCTAGTGAGAATGTCTTTAAAGGTGAGGAAGGTGGGAAAGGCTTCAGGGATGATTCAAACCTTCCCACTCATCCACAAGTGCACTTGGAAGAGAAACGCTATGAATATCCTGAGGACATGAGGCAGAGTGCCTATTCTGACAGGCATCAGAAGGTCCCCTTAAGAGGGGTATCGTCTACAAGTATGGAGTGTGGTCAGGCCTCCAGGCAAAGTGTTGACCCTCTCCTGGTCTTTACAGGAGAGAAGTCGTATACATGCTTCGAGTGTGGGAAAGGCTTCTGGCGGATTTCAGACCTTCATAGTCACAAGAAAGTCCACACTGGAGAGAGGCCCTATGTATGTGATGTGTGTGGAAAAGGCTTTATCTTTAGCTCTGACCTTCTCATTCATCAGAGAGTCCACACAGGAGAGAAACCCTATAAATGTGCTGAGTGTGGCAAAGCCTTCAGTTACAGCTCAGTACTTCTCATTCATCAGAGGGTCCACACAGGCGAGAAACCTTATAAGTGTGAAGAGTGTGGCAAGGGTTTTAGATGTACCTCAAATCTTTACATCCATCAGCGAGTCCACACAGGAAAGAAACCCTATACATGTGATGAGTGTGGCAAGGTTTTCAGTTACAGCTCAAATCTTCGTACCCATCAGAGATTGCACACAGGAGAGAAACCCTACACATGTTTTGAGTGTGGAAAGTCCTTCAGGTTTGGCTCCGGTCTCCTGAGCCATAAGAGAGTGCACACCAAAGAGAAACCATATACATGTGATATATGTGGGAAAAGCTACAGTCAGAGCTCCCACCTTCAAGGCCATCAGAGGGTCCATACTGGAGAGAAGCCCTATAAGTGTGAAGTGTGTGGGAAGGGCTTTAGTCAGAGCTCCTCCCTTCAGGTTCATCAGAGAGTCCACACACGAGAGAGACCCTATAAGTGTGAGGAGTGTGGGAAAAGCTACAGTCGAAGCTCATGTCTGCGGATTCATCAGAGAGTGCATTTTAAGTGAGAACACTTATTAGTAGATGTAAGTTGAGGACTCTAGTTAGAACTCAGACCTTTATATTTATTTGAGAGCCAACCCAGGAGAAAGACTTTATGAGTTAATGTGTGAAGGGCTGCTGTCAAGGCTGGATTTTTCAGAGTCATCAGCTAGGCTACATAGGAAGGGAAGATGAAATTTTGATAAAGAGAACAGGTACTTTAGTCACAAACTTCAGTCAAGTCTGTCACACAGCAGAATAATCCTTAATGGCCCTGGTAAAAACTGCCACTTTCTTCAGAGTCTGCCTAGGAGAGAGCTTTTAAAAGGAGGAGTGAGAATATATCCATGGTGCAAATTTTGGACATGGAGTCCTCGTGGGGGGAAACACCTATGAATGGGACAAATATAAGAATAGTTTGTCACCATGTATGCCTGTTTAAAAAGTAATATTTATGTTGTTGGTGAAAGTTTAGGTTCCCATTTAAGAATTACTACACACATTGTTCAGAGACATTGGTGACATTTTCCACAATATTTTAATGTTCTCATTAACTCTGTTTGGCTTCCAGTAATCTGGTGTCCCTGTTCCCTTACCCTTTCACATTTGCTTTAGACTGTTGACCATTTGGTCTCATATAGATGATCTTTCAAAGAAGTCCAGTACTCAATGGTGATACTTATTTTCTGAGCCATTCTATTACTTAAAAGGTTCATGTATGCTTTTTTTTTTTTTTTTTAAATTTTATTGTGATCTGGGTGAAAGTTTACAGAGCAAATTCATCTTCCATACAGCAGTTCACATACACTTTGTCTCATGACATTGACTGTAATCTCCCACAATGCAACAGCTTTCCTCCCACTTCCTCCCCATAGCCACCTCTTTCCTGTATCCTTCCCTCCCATACCTCCTGCCCCCTGAGCTGTCTGCCTTCGTATGTGTATGTATGCTTTTGTAAAGATATTGCTAGGGGTCATCAAGTCAGTCTTGACTGGTAGTGACCCCATATACCACAGAATGAAACACTGCCCAGTCCTGTGTCCTTCTCACAATCATTATGTTTGAGCCCATTATTGTACCCACTGTGTCACTCCATCTCATTGAAGGTCTTCTTTTTCTCTGAACCTCTACTTTACCAACCATAGTCCTCCTGATAATGTGTCCAAAGTAGGTGAGAATGAAGTCTCACCATCCTTGCTTCTAAAGAGCATTCTGGTTGTACTTTTTCTAAGACAGACGTGTTAATTCTTCCAACAGTCCATGGTACATTTGATATGCTTCACCAACATCATTATTCAAAGGCATCAGTTCTTCTTCAACCTTCCTTATTCACTGTTCACCTTTCACATGCATATAAGGTGATTAAAAATACTGCAGCATGGGTCATGTGCACTTTAGGCCTCAAGGTAATATCTTTTTTGTTTGTTTGTTTGTTTTAACACTTTAAAGAGGTCTTTTGCAGCACATCTGCCCAATGCAGTAAGTTATTTGATTTCTTGACTGCTGCTTCCATGGGCACTGATTGTGGCTTCAAGTAAAATGAGATTGTTGACAAATTCAGTCTTTTCAAATTAATCATGATGTTGCTTATTGGTCTTGTGAGGGTTTTTGTTTTCTTCATGTTGACATGTAATCCATAGTGAAGGCTGTAGTCCTTGATCTTCCTCAGTAAGTGCTTCAAGTCCCATACACTTCCAGCAAGCAAAGTTGGGTTATCTGCATATCGCAGGTTGTTAATGAGTCTTCTTTCAATCCTGATGCCTTCTTTTTAAAGATAGTGTTTAAACATAAAAGATGACATTAACACATATTGAAGCCAGTAGCTTAGAAGGCTGGGAGCTGGTGGAGGGAAAGTCCTTCTCCTGGCAGCTCCGGGTAATGGATCTCTGTCACATTCCATCATGTTTGTGATTGTGTTTTACCTCAGAGATAAACCTCTCATAGAGGTTGTAACAACTTCAGGAGTTATTTTATTTAATTGAGTTTACAAAACAAAATCCTATGGGACTTTTAATTGGGATTGCATTGAATTCATAAATTAATTTGGAAAGAACTTTTTGTCTTTGAAATACATTTTTTCCCCTTTTGAAAGTGCTCTTTGTACCCACAAAGAATGGAATCATATTTTTGTGATCCATCAGGAATATTTTTTAAGAGACTTTCTACAGTAAGTTGTATATATTCTGAAGTGTGTTCCCAGGAATTATATTGCTATCATGAATATATTATTTTTTACCCCATTTCATTTTCCACCTTTTTAAATATTAAATTTTAGAATAAAAAACTAGAGAAATGCCATATTTAATTTGTTAGATTACCAGTGGTACAGTAGGTCCACTAAATCCACCATCAGTGCGGATGAATGGACACACACACTCTTACGTGTATGTGAAAATAGGTACAGTTGTTTTGAAAAGAATTTGTTGGAATATCAAATTCAATTTGTATAACCTTTGAAGTGGCAATAAATGTATAGTAATTTATACATGGGAGATAGTTGCACAGGTGGGTAAAGATGAATACATATGACTGAGTCCTGTGACTTTATGATACCCAAAAACAATCCTCCCAGTGTTCATTGGACATCTAATAAGTTAATAACTTAAATAAGTTACTAACTTAAAGTAAGGTACTTGTGTCCAAGGGGAAACCACTAAGAATGTTCAGGTATGACTATAATATCAAAGGTAGCCTAAAAACTAGTGAACCAAGAAAATTTATAGTATGCACCCCCCTTATTTTTTAAGAAAAATATGTGTGTGCACATGTATGCGTGTGCACTTCTATATACAAACAATGAATGGAAAACGTGTGTACAAGAGGTCATTATCACATCAGCTTCTCCCTGGCACGTAGGATTCGGGCTATGTCATATCTGTAATAGAGTCATTGTACTTAATTAAAGAGTATCACTCTTCGAATAAAGCTACTTTAAAAAAATTAATCTGGTGGAACAATCCCTTATGGCCAAAGGATGTATATTTTACTCTCTACAGTTTTCTTTCTTTCTTTTTCTTCCTACTGTTCACTTAGCACCCAGTATCAAGTCGAAGGTATACAAACTCACTGTAAAATTTGTCATTCAGATGCCTGTCTGAGGCTATATCATTTTTGATGGTTCATAGAGATGAGGTGGTTTGCATGAGTAGAAGGAACTTTTCTACATTTGGGCCCTCAGAGCAGTGACCCCACACACCTGGCTTCATGGAAGCAGCATACCATGACATGCTCTCTGCAGTCTGACTTCCATCTGATGACTCAGGAGACCTGGGGACTGCCCTGGGCGGAGCCCCTCTTTGCAATGGGGAGCTACCAGGCAAAGAGAATCTAAGTTACAGATGTTGCAGGAAGGAGGGCGTCATTTATACCTAATAAATATTTAAAGAACACATCCAAGAGGCAGAAGAAATGTGTGAATGGAGAATTATTAGGCTTCAGGTGGAGAGTATTTATATAATAAATAATAAGGTATTTTTCAGATTGATAGATCACTCAAGTGATGGGGTAGGGTTTTAGGGCCAACAAAACAAATGTAGACACCATCTCTGCCCTGCAGACCTTCAAAGTTTAGTTGAAAAGTTTAATTCATCCAGTGGATTCTAAAAGGTGGACAACAGTCTCTTAAAATTATCTATCTAGGCAGTATTTTCCAGGGATCTGGAGGTAGTAGTCAGATGGTCGTTGGGGCTTGCAAAAAGGTCAGGGAGGTGACATCTTCTGACTTCTAACTTGACAAGAGGAAGACTCTTGTTTTGTTGTTATGTGCCATTGAGTCGACCCTGACTCCTTGGGTTTCTGAGGTAGTATCACTATGGAAGTAGATTGCCTCATCTTCCTTCTGAGGAGTGGTTGGTGGGTTTGAACCACCAGCCTTCTGGTTAGCAGTCAAGTGCTTTAGGCACTATGCTACAAGAAGAAGACAGTCACCATCAACAGCCCAAGGCTTATTCCTATGAGGCCAAACATACTGCCACCCTTCAGCCTTTTTACCAACTTTGACACCAACCATCCCTCTCAACAACACTCACTACTTCTCTGTTGGGTTCAGTAATTCATTGCAATGCCCACACAGAACTCACAGGCAATAATCATGATTATGGGTTTATTAGGGAAGTAACAGGCTACAGTTCAGGTTCAGGAATGTGCTCAGGATACAGTTCTTCAATCAGGACAGTATCTCCTTTGCTGTGCCCTCAGACACTCCTCTCTGACTCTTGACCTCTTGGCCTGGCATCTGCCTCTGTGGATCAGGCAAGCCTGCCACTCTGTCTCATGCCTCTTGGTTCCACTGCCACTGTCTCCCCACTGGGACATCTCTCAGTTAAGGAAGTCCCATGCAGGCATCTCAGGTCCAAGGACACACCCCACTTTACCTCCAGCTCTTCTGTCTTGATGGGAATGAGATCCCTTCTCTGCTTGTAGGAGGGCTCAATTTAAGCCCGGCAGAGTGAAAAAACTAACCATGCCCAACATCAGAGTTCTATACACCTTATTTTCATGGCCCCACCCAGTAATTCTGTGGGAGTTATAAAGCCTATGGCTAGAAAAGCCGTATCAATTGTGGTAGTAAAGTTTGTATATCTACTTGGCTGGGTCTGGTTGAGTGGTAAGCACACTTACTGCATGGAAAAGTAATATAGGTGGAATAGTACAGCTAACAGTCGAGCTTTGTGAAGTTGTGCTAATCATTCTATCCCCTTTGCCAATTCAGGGTCTGCTTGAGGACCCACTGGTTGCCACTGGACTCCCCCTTGCAACTAGCCACCAGGCCTTCAAGTGGTAGCAAAGGATACAGGGAAGGGCAGATTGCTGCATCTGCTGTGGAATGAGTTGTGAGTACAGGGGTATAGTTCAGTTGATGCAAACCCAGCAATGATCGTGAGGTAAAATGAGGTGTCATTCTTCGAATGTTGTATGGGAGAAAGGTTAATACAAGTTTAAGGGCATTTGGAGAGTTGTAAAATCAGATCATCTGTGGGGCATAGTCAGAAATCCAGTGACTGGGAGTACACAAAGACGACATTGA